TGCCCCAATCCAAACCCACAAAAATTCGATACAATTTTCTCAAGTTAAATAAATTAATACTTCCAAGAGGTGATTTTAACTTATAGGAATATATGTATCGAGAAATTGAGGAAAGTTATCTGGAACACAATAGTACATATAGGATATTTTTATATACTATCTAGTATAATAATACTTTCCTACAACTTCCTACCTATATTCTTGGCAGACAAATTGCTATATATATAGGGAGAAAGAAGAAAATATGCCAAGACTTGAGACAAATACTGAAGATTTTGTAGAATGAAGAATATATAACCTGCATGTTGCCCCAATCCAAACCCACAAAAATTCGATACAATTTTCTCAAGTTAAAATAAATTAATACTTCCAAGAGGTGATTTTAACTTATAGGAATATATGTATCGAGAAATTGAGGAAAGTTATCTGGAGAACACAATAGTACATATAGGATATTTTTATATACTATCTAGTATAATAATACTTTCCTACAACTTCCTACTTATATTCTTGGCTGACAAATTGCTATATATATATGTATATTTATTGAGCACATGTAGGTTTCGTTCATTTCACCAATTCTAGTTTTTAATTCCAATTTTGCTACAGTTAAAAGCTCTCACAAAAAATCACATATAACTTTTCTGCTACAGTGAAAAGCTTTCAAATAAAATCACGTCTCAACTCGAATTAAAAATTCGAATCCGTGAACTGAACGATGCCGTAATTAATTTAGATGTGTACATAACTATTCCTCCAAAATCTTGAATCCCGCGCATATGTCGTTTTCTTTTGGTAATAGACAAGTATCTGGCAAAGTGTTTTGACACAATTCAATTTATTGTGTTAAATAAGGCTGGCACAAAAAAAAAAAAAGTTATGGCCTATTAATTTCTATAACTAAAAAATGGCCTATATACTTTCTTAAGTTTTTCATATTGGCATATTTTCTACTATTTCCCATATATATATTGAGCACATGCAGGCCTCGTTCGTTTCACCAATTCTAGTTTTTAATTCCAGTTTTGCTACAGTTAAAAGCTCTCACAAAAAGTCACATATAACTTTTCTGCTACAGTGAAAAGCTTTCACATAAAATTATGTCTCAACTCAAATTAAAAATTCGAATTCGTGAACTGAACGATGCTGTAATTAATTTAGATGTGTACATAACTATTCCTCCAAAATCTTGAATCCCGCATATGTCGTTTTCTTTTGGTAATAGACAAGTATCTTGCAAAGTGTTTTGACATAATTCAATTTATTGTGTTAAATAAGGCTGGCACAAAAAAAAAGGAGTTTGTTGAGATATGAATCTAAATTTGAATGTGATTCTATAAATTTTGCTTTTTAATGAGAAAGTAGAATGATTTTTTTAGGATAAAGTGTTAAAGACGAAAAAGACGAAGGGGGATTCAAAAAAAAAAAAAAAAAAACATTCATCAATGAGTTTGTCATAATGGTGTTTTTGCATGTTTTACGAATTTTTCTCGATGTCAATAAGTTTATAACTGCAAATTATGAGTGGTCGGCAATACATGTTTGACATAACATAGTAAATCTCAAGGATACATAATGATAACTGAAAGTGGAGACGAAGAGATTTCTACCCCAAAAAAAAAAAAAAAACAGAGAAAAAAACCAAGTGGAGAGCAAGAGAAGACCGAAGAGATGATACAAATAGGACATTTGAAGAAGCTGTATTTGTTCTTTTCTTTTTCATTTTTATTTTTATTTTTTATAGTTAGGCAGAGTAGAAGATGTGAAAGAAACAAAGAAAAACGACACCCAACCCCCTCAGCCCCCACAAAGAGATATAAAGTAATATGGTCCCAATGCTGCTTCTATATCTAATATTATTTGTGTATATATATATACAAGTTTTTAAATCACTGTTACCGATCAATTGATCACATTATAGAAATAAGTGCATATATTTGTTACATTTGATAGTATGGTATTTTATATACTGGTTACTCTAATATTTACGATTAATGAGTATCATTATTTTAACGGTAAAATATTAATTCGATAGTTGTAATAAATTTAATAATTAACTAAAAAAAATTATAATAATTAATAAAATTAAATTCTTACCGCGTCATTACATTCTCATATTGATGAGTAGCCATGATGGGAACAACGCCATTAAGAACTCGTCATATATGGAGAGAGAGAGAGTACGGACGGTCAAGCTTGTCATGTGAGTTGGGTATGACCCCAAACGCAAGGAGGAAGTAATGTTAGGTTTATCTAATATCTGCCCATTGCTATCGCTTCCCTTTTACTTCACCAGTTTTTGTCTTTGACTTCCATCACCTTCTCTTTAAGTCCCAACAATTATAGAAGAGAGACGTCTACTTAAGGTACCCAACCAATGCTTCAAACAACGAATTTTGCTCACGATATTTAAAAGCCTTGCCAAACTCACCACTAAACTGCCCACAAAGAATATATTCTTGTACCTTTTCTTTTTCCAATTGAAAATGGACAAAAATTCAAATAAATAAACTTAAAGAAAAAAAAAAGAGTATCTTCTCTTGTATAGCCGTTTAAGAAAGGGGTGTGGACAAACCAAAAGGAGTTTGTGAAGCATATTTTTCCTTCTTAGCTTTGCATAGGTATACAGTAGTACGGTTCTATCTTAATATTCTTTTCTATTTAGGTATCAGCAGTTCTGCTTGATTCCAAGTAAACATTCTGTCTTTTCCATTGGGAGATTACTAATAATTAAACGAGTTATTAATAATATCACAAAGCATGTTTAGATGCAGCATGTCCCCTTAGTCATTTTGTTTATCCGACTATAAAGCTTTCAAGTGAAATAAACATAAATGACTGTGTAATAAAAGTCATTGAGCATTGCTTACTTGCATTTTCATGCAGTCTAATCAATTTTTATTTCCCACAATTTTATTCTATGATGAAACAAGAAAATCGCTCCACCAAAGAAGGATAGCTTTATCCCTCTCTTCAACTTCTTTTCTTTCTCTTCCTTTTTTTGCTGCAATTATTCCAACCCGACGTACCGCAAAAAAATGCATGGAAAAGATATCATATCCAATCACCAGCACTAGTAAGTTGAGATTCCAAAATGAGTGTATTTTCAACCTATCAACAATGTAGGGACTTGGAAAAGAATGCCAGGCGCTTACCCTATTTATAATGCCCTTGTAAAGTTGCAAGTAATCTTTAATCATAGATTAGATATTTGAAAAGAAACCCAGTAAACAGGAACCAAAATTCTCTTTCGCAACCTATTTTGCCTAGAATAATCTCTTAATCACTTACCCTATATCCTTGACCATCAACTTTGCATGCCTCTAGATCGTCCGTCCTCCTTTTTCAGTGTCGACAAAAAGTAATGGCTTGACTATAAATTGGGTCTCGCTCCTGAGACAGTATGCCAGGTCCTCCTAACCTATATAGAATGAAGCACGCAAAGGACCACATGCAATTGATCATTATTAATGCTATTCTTAGAACTTTTGAGATTGTGCTGTTGAAAATTCCTCCCAACACTCGTGGGAATCAAGACAACAAGGAAATGGTAAAACAGATTCGATTTCTCCGAAAATTCACTTCAGGTTGGTAACTTTTAAACCTGAACAAAAAAATACGAGTCTTTTTCTTCTTTATCAGTAGCAAAGGAAATAGACAATGACGCTATCCGAAGACGGAACAAACCCATTCTGTCTTACAAACTCTACCACCACTAAATTAGGAACATAAAAGTGATGGTGCTAGAACCAAAAATTTATTGAATGATGAACAATAATACTTCCTTATTTCAAAACAGAAATTAGCTCAAAAGGGAACTTGATGAGATGGAACTCTCAAACGCTATAGTCACAAAAGGCCGGTGCCGGCCCAGTTCAGTGTACAAAAGAATCACTTTGAATTGAACTTGTTGCTAACTGTATCGTAGCTCGGGAAGTAAAGGACTGCAAAACAAAATTGAGAAGAAAAGCAGATGAATGATAATATAATTGCACGAAACAAATGAGTTTAGTTAACAGAAACTTCTCTCTAAACCAGATAAGTACCATCTCCGTATGATGCCAATGTGAGAGGAGAAGATAGAAGCTTTTGGGCAGTTGAAGCAATATCTTTTACTGTAACCTCATCCACGGCCTTCAAGAAATGATCCACTTCCATCCTAGGGCAAATACGAAATATATATATTTTATTAGTAATAAGCTCAACTGGCAGAGGGTAAAACAAGAAAGCAAATTACGGTGTCACACAAACCCTATACAAGGAGATAGGAAAGTACTGCAAAACATGACATATTCAGGAAATATATCAAGAAGAAAGTATTGTCAACTATCTGTGAGACCTTTTTAACACAGCAAAACATAGTGCTAAAATTAACAGCTAAATCTGATAACTAAATTAGCAACAACAAATACATAACAAATTACTTGAATACCAGCATATGAAGGAGATATACTAATATGTAAGAATACATTCACAAATCCCAACACCTACAAATACACATCAAGGAGGTCCTACCTCTTCCCATAAGTCAGAACTTGTCTCCCTATATCTTCAGAAGCAATCACCTACACGAAACAGACTGAAGGCTTAGCAATTAAGAATTTTACAATGCCAAGAAGCACAACTACCATAACAAAGAATAAATTTCTATCAATAAGAGGTAAAAAACAATTTGCATACTCTAGATTCCAAATTCATGAGAATGGCAGACTTCGTCGACTTTTTAGCACGATCTAACTGCACCTGGTCAACTGCATGAAACAGAGATAAACATGTCAGCAACAGGATCCCAAGTAAAATTGGATTATCAAGAAAGAAACTACATATAGTTGGATGCAGCAAACCTTCTCCAGGTTTTGAAATTGCAATAAGCTCATTAGCGACTATATCGACTGCTTTTGCCGCAAAATCAGAACTCTGAACAGAGAAATTTCCGAAGATCAATCAATAAAAGATAGAAAATGGCTAGATTCCACCGTCTAATGTTAAGAAAAGTTCCTTTCCAATGCTAGAATTTCACCAATGATATATAAAGTACTGAAATTGCAATTTCCTTGTGTAAAACAAAAGCCAATATTCAAAAGTGGCTTACAGTAGTAGTTTGGATGCCAAAAATGCCAGTATTGTTGTAGATGTTGCTGAATGCTGAAATAGACTGGAATTGTGGATGGTTATTCAAGACACGTGCATCTGATCGTCATGTCAGCACATACATTCAGAGACAGATCATTTAATCCCGTCTATCATTACTATTATTATCATTTTTTCCAATTTTAGGTAGGAGGGTGGGAGAGAGTCAAGGAAATAGAAGAGAATGAAAATAAAACAAAAGTAGATATTCAAGACAACTAAAAATGCATCCAACAGCTAGAATTCTTTTTGTTCTTAGATTAAGAACAAGGCATGTGTCCAATAGAAATTATAGTCAATAGCTAAGCACGATTTTGTTTATGTATTATATTCTGCATTGCAGTTGGCCTTATGTGTGCAACTTACAAAGCCGTGAGTGCATCCCTTTTCCAGGTCCGCCGGTTGAGAAAGATCCACCTCCTCCCAAAAGCATCTATGATACAATTTGAGAAGTTATTGCTTCTAAAGAGATTAAAAAAATACAAAAAACTATCCAAATAAATATATTGTATACGTGTGTGTATATATACGTATATACATACATTAATATATACACATATGTATGAACATATTTATAAATATACGTATATACATACATTAATAGATACACATATGTATGAACATATCATAAATATGAAGCAAAAGAAGTTGTAAAGAAGTCACTTTCAAAACCTGAATAACAGTTAATTTTATAGCTTCCTTTTCCTTATGCCAGCCGCCGGGAACCTCAAATGCAAGAGCAAAATGGGTGCTCTGGTCAAGTAGGAAACAGTTCAGTTTTATTAATTTTAAGACAGACATGAATAAGAGGATAGAGATAACTAAATGGATAAAACGTATATCATACACACCCCTGAATCAGCTTGACAACGATAATCACCTCCCGTATACACAGATTTTGGCTCCTCAGGACGAGGGACAGCAGGGAGATCAGCCAAAAGTGGCTCCGCAATGGATACTAATTCTTCATGTTCAACCCCATAAGCTGCAAGTACTATTCTTGGAGCAGTGTAGTTTTCCTGGAATTCTCATAGGAAATTCAGTTTACTGCAAGTACTCCACGTAAATACACAAACCTATCTGTGTGGGTGCATAAATGTATTTATAAGTAACTTAAATTGACGCCAAATAAAATGTGCATGGACTTACGGCAACAAATTCCTCCAGAATTGTACCATTCAATCTATTTATTGCTGATTCAGGAGCTAGAAGTGGGTTAGCTAGGGCACCCGCATAACCAGCAGAGTGAATAGCTTCCAAAACCAAAGCTTCAGGGTTTTTGGAAGCTTCACTAATCTCAGCTTTCACCTTCTGAAGCTATACATCATATGGTAGAATGAGCCATAAGATGGAAATAACCATAAAATTAAACCCCAAACCCCCACCCACCCCACCCCCCAAAACAAAAACAAAAAAACAAAAAAAGAAAAAAAGAAAAAAAAATTCCAAAACTGAATTTGTATCGCAAATCACAGGACGGTATCAAAGGTTTACCTGCTCATTCACCTCCCAGTCCAGAAAAAAAGGATTCCTTGCACAATCAACAAGGAGCTCTACCATTTCGGGAACATGTGTCTTTAGAGCATCAAAAGTGTAACCCATCTGTTCGCGAGAAGCTGAGGCTTGCACATGTCCACCAATTGCCTCAATCTCCCTTACAACGCGCAAGTGGCTCCGGTTTCTTGTAGTCTTGAAAGCCATTCTCTCCAGCAGGTGTGAGGCACCAAATGACACTGGTGTCTCATAGATTGAACCACAATCAAGATACAAACCAATTGAAGCAGCCGGAGTCTGGTCAACCAACAAAACCCAACAGCAATTTAGTCAGACTATTACTTCTTTTTATCAGAAGAATAAAACATATACATAAATATGGGAAATCATTCCGTAAAGAAATACTCCTATACACACATACCGCTGATGTTTGAGAAGCTATTTTGAGGCCATTAGGAAGAGACGTGATCCTGGTAGTATCTGGTTGAACGTAGTCCGGCAATGCATGTGGGGGGTTGACACCGGGAAGCGGGAATTCTAGCGGAGTCGAACTCCTGGAACTTCCCCCAGTCAGCCATCCAAACAGACCTCCAAAAATGGATGAGGATTGGTTTGTTGCAACAGCACTAGAACTTGCATATCTGGCAAGTCCCCTATTGTAGTTTCGGCCCTAAATATCATTTTCCGATGAGAGATCAATACCACACTACCACTCTAACAAACTAATCAATAAATAATACACTAATAATAGAAATCAACAGAGAATTATGTTAGGAACTCGGAAATCTTACTACATTAACAATACTGAAAATGGAAAATACAAGATAGAAATGGGTGGTTTCGAGGACCCCCAACCTCCAAGCAATCACAGCACCTAAAAAACTTCTCACAAATCTCATCACGAGCCCTCATCAGCCACTAAACCCCCCATTTATCCTACTACAAGACTAGTAACTAACCACTAACCAATCTCTAGCAATCCATTACTTAACAGGCCCCTAACCAATTGCAATCAAATCAAGTTCAATTCATCCGATTTCTGATCTAAGACAATGAATCAGAAATTACTAAAAAATTCAACTCAACATTATCAAAAGCTCATGTTAGGCTCAGTTAATTCAACGAAAATAAACTACTTCCAAAGCTCCTAAATTCTCAATTCTTCTACATTTCTCAAAGTTTATCTGCAACCAAACGGGATATCGTAAACAAACAAAACAAAATCGAAAAGATCCAATTGGCAATGAATTGGAACATAACAACCAACAGATTCTAGGATCAAAAAAGTATCATCACAAAATCATCCCAAAATGTTCGTCGACATGAATTTTAGCTGAAGATCGAATCAGCGGTTAGAGATTGGAAATCTCTGGAACGGAGACATAACTGACCTTTACAGCCCGGAGGCGCGAAGCTGCGGTTCTGTACATGGCGACGAACTTGGATCGTTGGTGAAACCCTAAGATTGATCGGAGTCTGATATTGTCGATCAAAGGTTGGGGAAGAGAAGCTGCGGAGGATTAGGGCTCTGTTCACGATGAGAGAGAGTTCAAGGGCCGAGGCTTGAGGAGAGATTTCGCAGGGACGGAGGGTCGTTCACGTGTGAGTTTTCTGGAGGCACGTGGGACTTCATCGCGCCGTTTCGGTGGGAGTCAGGGAGTATGTGAATCTCGTCCGTTGAAATGAGCCGGATCAAATTGATCTCAGCCGTTGGTGGTCGGCCTCAGCCTGGTTGTGCTGCTTTTTTTCTTTTTTACTCTTTTTTTTTTTTCAAAAATCTAGTAATTTTTAGAATTTTTTTTCTACTTCTTCTTTTCTATTTGGAAAATAGTATTTTCGTTACTAAAATTAAATTTCTTTTTCTTACTAAGAGCATTCCAATCCAGTGTCAAATTGATGTGCCAAAATCATAATTTGATATTTATGAAATGTAATTGTTACGTTAAATTTGACAATTACTACAACATTTTGGCAGTAGTTAGTACATTTGATTAATATTCGTTGAAAAATAAATTTTTTTATTTAATCATTACAATATTGTTTCTTAAAGTTATTTTAATATTAAAAGTTTATTTCTACAAGTTTCAAATAAAAAGTAGGTACATCAATTAAAATCAAATATATAAGTTATTTTTAAACTTTTTAATGCAAATACAACATCAACATTGATATTGGATGCATGGTTACAAAACCAACTTGTGGAGTGGGAGATTTTGTGTTCCTTGGTTAATCCTAGTGTTCCAATTTCAGCCACTAAAAATAGTGGCAAGTAGTAACAGTATCGAAGAATTATTCCTTTTAATACGTAACTTATGGTGTATTCTAAGAATCTGGCATCAATTCTTATTCCATATAGCTAATGATTCTCATGAGAATTTTGCCCTTGCATTCCCATAATTCTTCAATTCGTTCCCTCTAAAGCAAATGACATATTTCTCGTAGTCTTTCCAATTTGAACCAAATTACAAAATTCTCCAAGAAAAATATTATAAGATATATACGAACTATGAAGATCTAGAAGATATGCAGAATAAGAACAGTTCTCACGAGAGATGCGACAAAAATGACCAAGAACCACAAAAATCCAATAATAGTAGAAAAATCCTTTATATGTATATATTATGAGAAAGTAAGGAAGGAAGAATGGAATATTATAAACATGTTCAATATTCCTGCGGTATCTGTAACTCTTTAGTTTACTTTATTTGAGTCTGATTATTATGATTATGATTATTATTATTTCTACAATGCATAATTAAACTTACAACCTCCTTATTACAAAGCCCCACTCCATTTAAATCTCTGGTGTCGTTAGACTAAACGGTCTTAGGCTAGCTACGAGTTTAGATTATGAAACGTGATAAATGGCTAGCACGTTTAGAACTCGTTCTAAAATGATTTTATTTTTTGTATGAAAATAAAAATGAAAATGCTTTCAATCTCAAACATAAATTATTTTTGAAAATGTGTTGGTAGTTTTATCAAGAGATTATTTTCAGTATAAAAAAACCAATTAATGTCTATCTCTTTCTCTCTACTCGAGAGAGGAGAAAACGAAAACAAAAAATGAAAAACGACTAAAAGTTATTTTTCATTTCTCTCTCATTTTACACTAAATCAAAAAATCATTTTCATTTCTGTTTTTTATTTTTATTGCACCAAACGCCGTTTTAAAAACGTTTTCATTTTTTCTTTTTCGAAAAACGTAAAAAATAAAAACGGGATCAATTCCAAATACTGCCTATGTGACACATATTTTTATTATCAGTCATGAGTAAGGAACATGATCCATATCTCATATATGTACCACTACTTGTTCTACAAAATTCTATTCCCTTAATTATTCACCTCCTCCTTTTGCCTATACACGTCAAATTGCAGCACGTTTGCATGCTCAACGACTATATATATATTGACAAAAACACACGAATGGAAGCTTCGAACTTGTTATATAGTTTGCTGCTCAAAACAAAAAAAAAAAAAAAAAAAAAAAAAAAAAACGGGAAGAAGAAGAAAATCAATATGGCAATAACTATTGGTGGCTCACCACCTATTGCTGCTATTCCTCAGAAAAAGTATGACTCTGTCCAGTGGTTGTCAAAGGGTGGGTAGGATATTTAAATATATATATATATATATATATATATTATCTGTAAGACAGTTTTGAATCATCACATCGCGTTCAAAAATGTGTTTATTAGTAGTAGGTTTTTTCATTTATTCCTTCATGAGTCAAATAATGTTCTTGGTTTTACAGGTTTTTCACATATGAAGATTTTCTCGAGAAACCCGAGATTTAAGTTGAGTTCCTCTCCATTGCCTTTCCATGGGGCGGGAAATATGCCGAAGGAAACAGATGTTCATGTAGTGACTCCAGACATGTCTTCACCAAGGCTGATGCCAGAATTACTTGATGCATGGAATGATGATTATAATGGTGTTGTGATTAATCCAGAGAGCTTGCCAATGAGCGCAAATGCTTTTGCATCTGCTCTTAGGGCTTCTCTTTCCCACTGGAAGTTGAAGGTCTGAATGATCAACTTAGATGAAACATTTCCAAAAAGAGAAAGATAAAAAAAAAAATGAAAACAGATTTTGTTTATCCCACTTGTTATGCTACTTAAGTAAATATCACTTTGAGAAAATAAGAGATTGGAATAAAGTCCTACGACATAAATATCGTTTTGAAAGAAGGCAGTTTTAGGACTCGTTTAGTTAATTCGAATTGAAATGTGATTTTATGTGAGTTTTTTACTATAGTAAAAAAGTTAGATGTGACTGTTTCTGAGAGCTTTTTATTGTGGCAAAACTCAAATTCTAAACTCAAATCTGTTAAATGAACGGGGCCTTAGTGACTGAGCCTCCTTAGGCTAGTTGTCCTGTCCAAGTGGCTTTTTTGAACTTTTATCTCATTTTAAAAAAAAATCTTTTTTAATGTGTCCACCAAATTTTTTTAATTACAGCTTTCATATAGAACATTTTTAAATATATGTTATCCCCCAAATTTAACTTCTACTGTACTCATACTTCATATTTTTTTAAAACATTTTGATTACACTTTAAGTTAATTTTTACTCTCAAGTATAATGAAGGGAAACAGTACAAATAAATAGAAGAAAATAAAAGAGAGAGACAAATAGTTTTTTTTTTTTTTTTTTTTTTTTTTTTTTTTTTTAAAGAAGAAGAAGAAGAAGAAGATAGTTTACTTTTAGTTTAGTTCTAATTTGGACGTTAAAAAAATTCCAGGGGTTTTGCATTGACAGTACTTTGTTTAGAATCCCACATATTGTCTGACAAAAAAAAAAAAAAAAAAAAAAAAAAAAAAACATGACTTTGCTACTGAGATTACCTTATTAAATTCTTATTAAAAAAAAAAAAAAGCAATATTGTTTGTATAATATTGCAGGGGAAGAAAGGGGTATGGCTGAAAATACTGCAAGAGCAAGCCGAGCTCGTACCTATCGCGATTCAGGTAACAAATTTCAACATTATTCCATGTCTTGGTAACGCCAAAAATGTTAAGCAAATTTTTGGTCATGTTTAATGCCACTAAACCATGAGTTACTTTGATATCTCATATATGGCAAATTTCCTTTATGGATTTTGGTTTTTCAGGAGGGTTTCAATTACCACCATGCTGAATCAGGGTACGTTATGTTAACACACTGGCTTCCAGATGATCTCTGCATGCTTCCCGGTAGCCCTTCACATCAAATAGGAGTTGGTGCTTTTGTGATCAATGACAAAAGAGAGGTACCTCTAACAAAACTTTCCTAGTGTAACACAGTTTTAAATCCCGATACGTAACATTTGTCAAGTTAATTATATGTCGTATATTTTTTTAATTTAATATGAATCTTGTGTGATTTCATGATCTAAAATGTGTCGTACTAGTAGGGTATTTGTTCAATTCTTATTGATCGTTCTTTTTTTTTTTTCCTTTGCCGAGTACGAAATTGGATGGATTTATAATTAGTTAATTTCCATTCATTTTTAGGTGCTTGTCGTGAAAGAGAAGTGTCCTTGTAGTTGCTCAGGTGTGTGGAAGTTTCCCACCGGTTACATCAACAAGGTGAGAATTTTCCCCTATTGCTCAATAAAATTACACACTAAGGATCCGTTTAATTTACTGATTCGAGTTGAGATGTGACTTTATATAAGAGTTTTTTACTGTAGTAAAAAAGTTAGATGTGACTATTTTTTAGAGTTTTTTACTGTAACAAAACTCAAATTTTAAATTCGAATCGGTGAAATGAACGGTGCCTAAATTCTCTCTCCCCAAGTATATTCCAATTTCCACAGCCGCCGGTTCTTAAACTTCTTATTTTTTGTCATTTCAGTCTGAAGACATATTCTCTGGAGCTATAAGAGAAGTGAAAGAGGAAACTGGTGTAAGTAATGTTCATGTTTTTCGAGCGAGAAAAAAAAAAGTATTTTTTGTTCTCTTACAAAATTTATATTAATAAATTAAAATCACTTATTTAAAACTAAACAAGTCTAAAGACTCAATTATACATCAACTGTTAGCTAATTACGTGCCGCCTTTTTGTTTGACAGGTTGACACTGTTTTTCTGGAAATAGTTGCTTTCAGGTGAGGCTTATCTAACGGTAGTTCAGTAGCAGTACTGCAATTAATACTTCCCATTTTTTTGGACATCAGTACAACTCAAACATCACGAGAACAAAACAAAATTTTTGATGAGAGACAAATTATTTCAATTGGTTGAATTGTTTCTTTTCTTCATTTAATGATTGAAATTTAAGTTGCACATATATCTAAAATTCTAAAAATCTAAAAGAAATACAAATATATTTATACCCTTACTCATTAAAAAAATCCCAAACTACAATATTCATTGATTTTTTTCTTTCTTATTTTTTGGGGCTTTGTGTTGAAAATTTGAAGACATGCCCACTTTATGGCGTTTGAGAATTCGGACCTGCTCTTTGTTTGCATGCTGAAACCAATGTCCTGTGATATCATAGTTGATGAGAAGGAAATCCAAGCTGCAAAGGTATTTGAATTTATAATCACACGGTAATTTAATCCTTGAAATTACTTGTTTTATCTTTAAAAAAAAAAACTTTGCACCGTTAATTCGTTGATTTGAGTTTTTAATTATTTTGCACACGTATTGCGATTTTTCTGATTTTTTTTTTTTTTTTTTTTTTCCTTTCAGTGGATGCCTCTTGAGGAATTTATAGGACAACCCTTTTATCAAGACGATCCGATGTCAAAGAAGGTGACTGATATTTGCATTGCGGCTCATGAAGATCGCTATTGTGGATACGTTGGACAACAACTTGCCTCAAAACTGGACTGCAAATTATCCTACTTGTATAATGCTGCCTTCTGGGACGAATAAAAATTAAGAATAAACCAATTTAAAAAAAGCAAAAATAAATATACACTTGAAATTAGTGCATAATGAGAACATAAATTTTACTTTGTTTTGACTTGGTGGGTGTGACTACAATGCATCTGGACCCCAAGTCATTGTCTTTAATTGAATCATTAATGCATTGCCAAGAATTAGAAATCAGGATGTGTGTGCTACCCTACTAAAAAGAGGAAAATTATGAAGACCATATTTGCCTATCGACTTTTATGACTTGTAACGATTTCATAATTCATGATAAAATATGGCAAAAAGTGATGTACTTGATAACTATATGTGGCTGAGAAATGATCGTGTTAATTGGAGTAAGTTTACCATACATCCTATCTTTTTCGAATGCATATGCTTTCTAAATTTCAGTTGTTTTGATGAGGTTTACAAAAAAGTTTTATATACGATAAAATTTTGAGGCATTTATTATTATATGGCTAGTTTAGTATCATGTTCCACACGTATTATCAGACAGTTTAAATTAAATAAGTACACATTTAAAAATTATTTTAATATGAATAAACGAGTAAAACTCACATCAAATAAGAATCAACAAAGAAAAATAAGGACATATTTGAAATAAATTATGTCAATCAGAGTAAAGCGAGAAAAAAAAAAGTATTTTAAAAAAGGCACGTCGTAGTAACTCAACTATAGAGTAGTTTTTGGTAAAAGATAACATAAAGGAA